TCACTGACTGGCCTACATTTCCTAAGCTTTTTGCCTCCGGCTTCGAGAGACTTTGTCATCATTTTGTTATCTCATCCGTCCAATCACATCCCCTGATCTCACTTGTCCAATTGCAGCGCATTAGTAGTGAAAGACTCCTCCACTCCACTGGAACCAGTGCTGGGAAAAAACAGCTCGTCACTTTTTAGAAATTGTCAGCCAAATAGCACCGGGCCTATTTAGCTTCCACATTCAGAGCATAATGATACCCCAAAACTCCACTGACTGCATCTGACATGTAAGAAGAAGAATAGTAAATCTGTGGATCTGGGAAGTAGGGAAAAATGGGAGGCCTTAGAAAAGTCTTTGAAGTTTCAGATTGCTTTTATCAAAGCTAGCTTTGTTTTTAGCATGAATCTTGCATGAGCAGGTCTGAGGGAATCTGCCTTGTATGCATGGATGGATTTGACCACATTATGCAGCATGTGGAGGGAGGGAACAAACATTGGGTGTGTGTGTGTTTCCCTTTGATTATGACTGAAATCAGTCCCTAAGTCTCCATAAAAATCTTTTGATTTGTCATCTTTAAAGAAATGTTATTTCCAGAAATGTCTATCCAAACAAAAAAGACCAAAAGCAGTGGCATAGTAACCTGTAAGTGGCGCCGTAATACTGGCATGAAAACTAACCAAAAACAGAAGAAAGATGCGATGCTTGTGGCTAAAGCACAATGTTTTCTGTCAGTGTTATTACTAGATTTTTTTGCTCTGGAACATGTTGATCAAAAATACAATCATGGGGCTTCTAAATTTATGTTTCTACATCAACATTAACACAAAATAAGTACATTTTTTTGTATATGCCATTCCTTTGAATGGAAATCAAGATGCTTTCTTGTTTTTTATATTTTCCTTTGTTTCAGCAAAGCAAGAAGATTTTCTGGTAATGTTTAAGAACACTGTTATAGGTACACCTGGCTAGTACCATGGAGTACTTTATTTTACCATTTGACACAAATATAGTGGCAAACATTGAACATGGGAACCATTGCTCCCCGCTGATGTTTTAGTGTTTGTGTGGGTAATTAGGTCGTGTCGTGGCATGGTGGGTTTCTACCGATAGAGCTGGATGATATGGCTGAAAAACATATCACGATGGGCATTTCATACGGGTCAATATCAATAATTATTGATTGGCTTTTTGTTTTAGATATCTGAAATGCTGCCAACGGTGACGTGGCCTTTCCTGTTTTATCCACAGTTTTGAAACTGTGGTTTGTTTTTTCATTATTTTTAAGCATTTATGAGGGACGGTGGCGAAACCTGAAACTGCAGCTGTGGAGGTTACTCAGCAGGTTGTTGCTAGGTAACCAAAGAGTGAGTGAGTTGCTAGGTAACCAAAGAGTGAGTGAGTTGCTGTCGCACGATTTGATCCCGACAAAGTGTAACATATTTATTTATATTAATTAAAATACTAGTTGTTATAAGAAAACCGATTTTTCTAGACAATGTTTTAATTCTATTAATGAATAATAATTGTCCTAATGTATCTCAAAGATTATAAATAGAAAATTGTTTATCGGACTCACTGGACTATAGGATTATAATCTGATTGTAGCTCCACCCTATGGTGGACTCATCATGGACAATAATCACATCTTCTATAAGATGTTATCAAACTGTAGAAGACTATATATTGTGTGTTCATGGGGAACAATTTATTACTCTCTTTACTTATGTCTGATTACTGTACAGATTTTTTTTTTCAGTGTGGAAAATGTTGTTAAACCATTTTTAATCTTTATTTCTTGTGATTCTCTTTAAATCATATACTACTTTAGTGATTACAATGACATGATAAAGAAATAAAAATACCTTCCTAGAAGTATTTCTTTTAGAACATGAGCAAATTAGCTTATGGTACCGATTGTGCTCTGACTTTGCTTAACTTTGCCTTTTCTCTGCCTACATCTCCCAGAATGCTTTGCAGTTCTGGATTGGAGTTCAGTGTAATTACTGAAAATTCTATTAGACATATTTTCTATTGATATTGGTACCATGTCCATCACAGTATATATGTTATGATTTATAGTCCAGCTCTATGCCTGGCCTGCTGGTTTGAGGTGCTTGGTGGGTTCCTCCTTCCCACTGCTCAGTGGTTCTGCTGCTGGGGGCTGATGTGGACACCCTGCACCTCTCATTGTGCTTCTCTGTCTTAATGATGGGGGTCCCTGGTGTTTGTCTCCCTGTTGCCCCAGAAGCTGATGCTAACAGCCTCTTGATACTCTGGGAGTTGATTGCGGTTAGGTCTGTGGCACCTTTGCAATTCCAGGTGTCAAAATAACACCAAGTCCACACAGAAGAGGACGCGTACACGCACCCACACACACACGCACATGCACACCCACAAACACACACACGTATACACTCAATATAAATAATCCAAAAGGTTGAAGGTCATACAAACACAACTTCATATTTTATTAATGCATCTCCTTTCTACTTTGATGCCAGATGCAACGGTGATTTAATAAAACCAATCAAGCAATCAGGATAACATCTCCAGGGCAGCTTTGCAGAGACCATGCATGCAACCAGCTGGTTCATATGAAATGCCACGACAGGACGTGGAAAAACTAAAAAATATCAACTACATTATGTATTTCACTGAGACTTGCCATTAATAAAATCTGAACTACTCAATGTTTTATGAGGGGTGTAAATTTAAGCAGTTTGCAGCATCATACCTATCTGATTGACAGCTTATGGTAACATATGGGGGAGGAGCAGATCTATAGTGTTCGCTCCATAAGAACAAAGAGGAGACGGCACTTTCTATAGAATCGCAGTTTAAGTACAAGTAAATGTTTGGACAGTTTCCCTTAACATTAGCTTATGTCCAGTTCTGAAATCATGATTAATCTGATTAGACTTAATTTTTTTTTTAATCAAACTAAAACAGATTACCTTTACAGTGGATTTCCCTTTAACCAGTTATTGATATGAAACCAATTGAAAATCATTCGTTGAGTTTGTGTCCCTTTTTCTCGTCATTAGTGCTTCAGCAGCTGAGCTTTAAGTGCGTTTGTTGACATGAACTGCAACGATTTTATAAGTGAAAAATTCATTTATTATGCAGGCATTGGTTTCTTGGTGGAACGGCCTCAGGCGTTCACCTTTCGCACTCAGAAGCAGCTGCACTTGAACTATGTGTAACTTATCTCTGAGTGTGTGTGCGCGTGTGTGTGTGCCCCGTTAACCTTTCCGTTCCCTGCTTAAAATGCACACACGTTTACGCACACATGTACACAGCCTTTGTCTCCGCTCCTCTTCTGTCTGCCTCCATTTCCATTTAAAGGAGGGAGGATATGGTGGGGGTGGAGAGGAAAGGCGGGGGGAGGGCTCAGGTTGAAAATTACAATATGTATTTATGTTTCTCTGTATGCTGTTGCCAAGCAACAGTAGACTGAGGGTATTTACAGTTAATAAAAAGTGAGTGACATTAGCTTGGTGTATTAGAGGTGCATCGCTCATTTGCTTTAAGAGCTGGAAGAAAGATAACGCGTGTGTGTGTGTGTGTGTGTGTGTGTGTGTGTTGTGTTTCTTCTCGTCCGTGTTTGGGTTTTTGTGCTTATTGTGTGTGTGTTTACAATAAATGTTCACAATCTTAACTTGTGTGGAAAAAAACTGATTCTCTTTGATTTGTATGTACTTTTTATTTCAGTCTGATTTTATTGGTTTAATATGTTTTGTTTGTATTTGATGACTTTGTTTAGATGTTTAGTATGTAGAAAAAAAATTCACATAAAGTGCAGCGGAAAAGTGAAGAAGTGTCTGCCTCCTGACAGATTGGTTTTGCTTTTCCTTCTTTGTTGTACTTTTATATTTCAATCTATTTTGTTTTAAATCAGAAAACATGACGAAACACAAAATGCAGATTCTTTAATTTATTAAAGGATAACATCAATTTTGTCCTGTGTAAAAAGAAAAAGTGACATTTCTTCTTTTTAAATCATGAATTAACTGAAATCAACTCCTTTTTTTAGTTCAATACGACTTGTCTGATTATTGACTCGCCTATGAAATGAAGAAAGCACCAAAACAGAATCAGTTTTCAGTGTGAAGTATGTTACTTGAACTTGAGGAATAGATGAAAAACAAACATGAAACGGTGGTGAACGTGGTGAAAAGTGGTTTTACATCTGCTGTAAAAGCTAAAACATTAATTTAAAAAAGACACCATAGCACCATCAGTCAGACATGACAGTGGTGATGTGATGGTTTCATGCTGCTCTGGACGATTTGCCCCAAGTTACAGACGATGCATTCTGCTCTCTTTTAGTTCCTGGCTGTAATGTCTGGCCAAAGTTATGTTTTTGGATTGGCCTAATTTAAGTCCAGACTATATTTAATTGGGACGCTGTGATGTGAACGACTCATTTTCACTGATTGCAATATTCTGATGGCAGTATCATGATATATTTTTTAAATACCAACCATGATAACGATATGGCAGACGATTTTCTGCTTTTTCCTTCTTTCCTTTTTTGTTTTGGTGGCGGGGGAAGATTTTTTATTTTTATTTATAAAGTCACTACATTAAAAAATATTCATATATATAAAGTCACACAATATGTTTAATACTAAATAGATAAATAATTGGGTAACAAAAAACAGCCTGAAATAAGATACCAAAATACTTAAATACACAAATTAAACAAACTGTTGTGGTTTGATTAGCACTAATTTTACAAGACGTTAAAAATGTCTCCCCCTCACGTTTTTTTTTAAAAACACAAACATTATGTGCAAATCTAAGAATCTTGATTAATATTCTTGAAAGAAAATCTCTCTGTTAAAACAAAATATTTCGCTTTAAAAACCTGCTAACAGTAAATGATGGATGATGGGTTGGTTTGCATCTCTTTTCCCTTCTAATAAATTAATCATATTCATTTTATAACTGCATTTTATATTTACTCAGGTGTTTTATTTTTTCACTTCACCCTATTTGTTGTTTTGATGAATAATCTGCGAGCAGACATTAACGTCTCGTCTCTTTCTGTCACAGGCTTTGAAAGCATCTTAGAGGGCTTGTTTGGGCCGGGACTAGTCAAGGACGTCACTTTTTTCCAAGGTAAACACGCACTAAGCACCAACGGGCAAAAATACAACATGCTTTTACAAATCTTAACTTCAATTTCAAGAACATGAAAGGTAAATTGAAAATTTTAATTAAGGAGCTAACCTCATGAGGAGCCGTCTGAGTGATGACAATTATGAGTCACCGGAGTGTTTATTCCGGTTTTCCAGCTCAAAGTGTTTTTTCTGCTTGTGTTTCAGATTCTCTTGGCATAGCCTTTAAAACAAGCAGCAATTACAGCAACTAGTTATTTCCCTTTCTCTGTTAACTGTGATGGATTTTTTTTAAACTGTAATGTTGCCATTTGTAGCCCAGTTCAACCCAACTTATTTATTTATTAATTACCAATATACAACCAATGTTGACTCGAGGCCAAGCAGATCTGATTGATAGAGAAATCGGCTCAGTAAATACAGACAGATTCTAATTCAGTTACATGTTTTCCAAATTGATTCTTGCTGTTAAATAACACAGTCACCAGTGTTTGGTAAAAACTTTACTCTCAAGGGAAAGTGAGTTATTTGTACCGTTTATTATGTATTGTGATAAATATCTTGCCAAAATAAGATTTTGATTTGTTGTCATGATAAATTCCTATTAAGGATCTTTAAAAATCCCTAAAACGGTTCGCACTGTTGGGATTATTATTTTTACTATTTTATTCCCTGCTAAATGAAGCTAAAACTGCCAAAAATCTGTTCTGAGCTTTTGTTGTTCCGCAGAACTTTTGTAATTGTGCAAAATGTATGTCTTTGCACAATTTTGGCAGAATTACTGATCTGAATATGTTGTCCTTTCAGCAAGTGGCCTTTAGTTTTGAGTCTGTAGTCACTGATTAATCAATTACTAAATTAGTTGATAATTATTTCAGTAATTAATTGTGATTAATCCAATTAATCATTTCAACCCTAGATTAGTTACGCTCTTTGTGCTAATCTTGCTAAACACTTATGTGATAGTTAAATCACATTAGTGAAAACCTGTAACTTTAAACTCTTTTAGGAACATTAATTTATTTTATTACGGCTATTTTATCTTTGAGATATTTACATTTACTGGAAAAAAGTGGGGGTTTTTTTCTTTCATTCTTAAAGGGAAATTGTAATCAGCCCATGATCAAAGTATTGCAAAATATTTTACCCACTAGGCTAGTAGTAGTAGTAGTACCTATTTTCTGAAGTAGTTTCTGCAAATTCTTTGCCACTTTTTGTTCTTTTTTTGGGGATTTGCGTGCATATAAAGTCCATTAGTGATGGGGCAAGCTGCAGTATGTGCTATTTAGTCAGCCAAAACCTCCAAACCAAGCATCTTCCTGCCCTGAGTGCTGGTGCAAATCAAATCCATATTTGATTTGCACCACTAAGCACCCAGCTTCCTCTCTCTGAATTTCTGTCTCTCCCTGAAACAAGGTCAACATGGCGGCCCAGAGTCATGTGACCCCTCCCCCACCAACTTACGGCATTTTTAGAATATTTCGGGCATGTCATTTTCACTCATGCATTACACTTCCACACATGCCCAAACTCTAGTAAAGCTGACACATTCTCAGTCACAGCTCAGACGTACATTTTTCACACCACCATGCGCACACACTAGCATAAAAGCTAGCTAAAAAAGAAACCTAACTAGGAGACGCTGACTGCAATACCGACTCTCAGTCTGGTATTCTTTTTTTTAATGAATACAGAACTACGTTCCCAGGTCCGTCCAGATCTGAGCCGTGTAATGACCTGCGGAGAAGTTCATCACCTCAAACAAAGCGCGCCACGTTCACGAAAAACAAGTAGCTGCAACGCTGAGCTGATTAGGTGCATTCACAGCAGCTGACTATTGACCAGGCCCACACGAGTGTGAAGCCTCCTGTAAGCACCGTCAATATTTTCTTTAGGGTGGCAAACTTGCGGGGCGCGTGCATGAATACGTGGACAATGGTGAGAGCGAGGGGTCAAGCTAGCAGTGGGGCTGGAGCTAATTGGTGCCTTCCCAGGGATATTGTAAGTGGCACAACTGCAGGGTTCGAGCTGAGCTCACCTGTGACCTTTTCATTACCGCCACTGACAGAGCTGAAAGACAGAACAAAGAGGAAGCGGCGGCTAAATTATCTGGATGTTTCACAGAGAGCCGAGAGGAACTGACTGGAAAAGACAGACATGTCTGCTGTACATTAGAACATGTCTTGAATTACACACAATTAAACTTAAACACACTGGCTGTGTGTCAGATTGCACTGTGGTTCACAGTTGTTGAAACTTTATGAATATTGTGATAACGAAGTCCCATCCAGGTGAAAAATAAAGATGCACCAATCCAATATTAATATCTGTATCGGTCCCGATATTGAAAAAAATTCTAGATTTAGTGCCTGTGATCCAAAAAGGGAGATCTATTCACTCTAATTCTATGCTTTGTTCTCTGAGCAATATTATACTTTATTTTACATTATATTTAGTATTCCTAATTGTTCTTTTTGAATTATTTGAATGAAGGTTTGTTGCCATTTATTTTAAAACCTATTATTTTAGTCAGTTTCAGTTTTTTTATTATTTATTTTATATTGGCTGTTTTATTCCTAACATTAAAAGTTGTTTTTACATGTTTGTTTGAGCTTGTGAAGCGGTTGGTGTATTCAAGTTTGCTGTACTGGCGCAGAGTTATCATCAAATAAATTATAATTCATTACAAATATGTCTGTGTTTAAAAAGAAACATTAAGTCAATTCTGTTTTTCTAGATTGGATTGGTATCAGCCGATACTAAACCTTATGTCAGTATCGGAAATGAAAAAGTGAATCCGTGCATCCTTAGTTTGCTATCAGCAGGATAGAAACAGAAACGTCTCGCCCTCTGGTGGTTTAATGGTGCATTGCAATAAACTCAGATCATTTCACTGAATACAAATTCATCATTTTAAATTTGATGGGCAGCCATTTTGTAGTTTACTTATACATTTATTATACATTTTTAATGTACACAGGCTTAGAAATTAGCTCATGTGGCTAGCTTAGAGCGCTCTCTCTCTGTGTGTATATTCCAGACTATAGATATTTACTGTAATTCTGAGATTTGACAACATTTCTAAATGCAGCTTCATGACAGAGATGGAAAGCTTGTAATAATAAACAGGCCACCTTTCTCTACTCTGTCCAGTCTTCCTGTCATCTCTTAAATTACTTCTTCCATCTCCGAGCTTCCTCTGACTTACTGATTCAGAAGCGTCCTCCAGCTAATGGCTAATTTGAGTTTTCTCAGTATCAACTTCCACAACAAAAAGTGTGGAAAAGTCAAACCTGCTGTACATTGGAGAAAAACACACACTCTCTCTCTCTCTCGCTCTCTTAAAAAAAAAAAAAAAAAAAATATATATATATATATATATATATATATATATATATATATATATATATATATATATATATATATATATATATGACAGACATTAGCTGATATTAGTGAAGTTTCCCATTAGCAATTCAGAAAACCAGTGTGTTTTTCCTAATGGTTGTTCTGAGTGACCAGAAGGTCACTGAAGGAAGATGTTTATGAATCATTATCTATTCCTGTGTTTCCACTTATTTAATAAGATACAAACTATTAGGACTGCAGATAATGGTTTACTATTGCATCTCAAGGCAGCCATATTGGATTTTACGTGTTGGTGAATAACCTTTGACTTTCCATGTTCAGGGTTTTTGATAATTTAAGACACCACAGTATCCTACCTTTTTTTAAAGGAAGCAGATAGGTTAGCGGTTAGGATAGTGTATCGTCTCTTCCTGGTGTTCTTGAAGGTGAAATAGGCTCTGTAGAAACTAATATAGGACAGTAATGTAGTATTTTCAGCCTGCTGTTAATTTCTTCTTCAGCTCCTAATCATATGAACCGTATTCCCTCATGATCGACGCATTCTTCAAAGACGACATGCAGTCATTGTTCTTTGCAGCATGAAAATCAATTAGCAGAATTTTTTACGTTTCCATGGGCTGTGTAATCCACCGCCGTCATGTGATGGAGCCAGAGTCACGCTCATGTGATGGGTTCCACTTCACAACAAGTGTTTTATGCCATCCGGCAGCCTGGTGAGACACTTTCACCATATCATCAGCTTGTTTTTTAGGCGCTGGAAAGGGTGACCGCTTTGAGAAATGAACTCTTGATCCAACACGTACCCGATGCTCACAGGATGTAGTGACTGAGTATTGATTTCTCTCATGTGTTACTCTGTTTTTTTCTGTTTTTGTCTCTGCGGAGCTGAGTAAGCTCCTCGTTTGGTCCTCCTGTCACACTGCTTTTCTTCACTCCTCAGTCCTGCTTTCTTCACATGTCTTCACATGTTTTATTACTAAACAGAGCAGTTTTGGCTCCATTGTTGCATGTTTGCAACATGCCATGTGTTAACAGTCTAGTATCAGAAGGTGCTAGGTTAGTGAAATGCATCATAAATTTCAGAAATGGAGACTCCAGGCAGCGCTCGCCACATTTCAGTTGGGGAAGATGTTTGATAAGATTCAAAATAATTAAACCTTACATGGAATTTATCTGTTCAATTTAGGAAAATACATTTAATTACACAAAATTACCATTGATACAGTGATTACCTCCCCCAAATAAGGTTGGGTTGGACAATATGGCTGATAAACTTAACACAATATAAGTGCTTCATATCAGCCAATATCAGTAACTGTCTACAGATAATTATTGATTAGTTGTTTGTTTTTTTTTAATTATCTGAAATATTGGTAAAGTGGTGGTGTGACCTTTCCTGATTTATCTACAGTTTTCCTTCCATGCTGCGTTTCTTTATTTCTAAGCAGTTTTGAGGAGAAACCTGAAACTGCTGTTTGTTGCTAGGTAACCACAAGTTACTCACAGGTTGTTGCTAGGTAACCAAAGAGAGTGAGTTAGTTGATTCCACCAACTTTGCTTAGCTAGCTGTTTGAGATTGAGTGGCTAAAGCCTTTCCTCTGCCTACATCTCCCAGAATGCTGTGCGGTTCTGGATTGAACTTCAGTCAATATTATATACTTTGAATATCAGATGTATCAGCTATTGATATATATTGTTACTGATTTATTGTCCAGCCTTAAACTAATGAGTTTTTGGTTTCCACTTTTCTTTTATAGGTTGAAGTTTCAAGGAACTTATAATTAGTTTGTTTTTCTCTGAGGTGTAAATGTTTGCTAAATACTCTGGGACTTTAGCAAACATTTTTGTGAGTTGTGACTAATGTGGGGCCAACACTCCAGGTCGATTGTATTTAGGAATAAAGAATGAATATATGAATATGAAAACACCTCATGCATGTTCTTGAGTTATGAGCCCAGTGATAAATATATTTTGAAGGGCTAGTTTGTTTACAGAGACGTCATAATACAGTTAATTTATTTATGGTTTGTTTATGTATTTCAGATATTTAAAATGTCTTCCAGTTTCATTGTTAAAAGTTTAGAAATGTGTTTGTCTTTGATAGGGTGTATTTGCATTGTTATGCCATTTTTAAGCTGTTAGTTAATAATGGTCTCAGAAATGCAATGTTATCGTTTATCGCAATGATTTCTGGGACAATTTATCACAGAGCAAAATTTGTTATTGTGGCAAAGCTTTGGATAAAACCAAAGTAGTACAGATCTAGTTATTGCAGCAGTGAATTATCCTTCCACCAAAGTTCAACCAATTTATAGGCAATATTTCTAAATTACGTTTGAGACAAAATTACTTAATTTAAACCTGGAAAACAGAGATGTTTGGCCTGAGACTAAATATTTTAGCATTTTTTGTAAACGTGCCATTCTTATACATAAAGCTGGTGAAGTTAAGCACCAGTGTGTGGCTAATGTGATAAAATGTAAAGGTCCATCTCTGTGTATGTGCCAGAGGAACAGTCAATGTAGTCCTGTTGGCAAAACGGGGCTTTACAAAGTATTTAATGTTGAAGTACGAATAATAAACAATATAGTTAAAAACATTTAATCCCAACACGGATTCCTGAATCATTATTCAGTGAGATTTTCCTCCTGCATTAAAAACTAAATACACTTGATGGATTTTCACTCTTGCTCTGTCTAAATGCGAGTGCTGTATGTCTCTACAATAAAAAAGATCTGATAGTTAATAAAATAGATCAGACAGGTCACAAGCAGAGGTCGCAGATGTACTGATAAAATCAGTGATTGATGAGCTGTAATGACTGCACACCTGGCTGCTTTAAACGGGACATTTTTGTGTTATTTCACGTTGACTAGCAGAACTTGTCCAAGCTGCATAGCTACAGGTGAACATATATAAAACGCCCCCCTTCCTGCATGTCAGAGCTTCAGTCTGCACTTCTGCATCAGGCTGACATCAGATCATTGCAGCCGCTCATAAATGTGGCCTGTCAGCACCGAGTGGAGTCTTAAAGTGGACTCTTAAATACACCAAATCAGCGTCAGTGATCGGCAGTGACGAAAATCTCCCCGCTGTGTTGACAGCATCTGGGCAAAAAGAGGAAAGGAAACCAAATGGCACCTCACAGATGACCTGTAACTGCCAGCTTTGACGTGCATGCAGCTCCTCGACAAGAGTGACGGATTAGTCTATATATAATCCAATGGAGTCGATAATAAGGAGAGTATTTCAAAGTTTGTCTCACAGTAGTTTACTTTGTTGTACCTGAGCTAGCTTTAGTTCTTCTCCAGCCAGATTCATTTCCAGTTCTTCAGTGTTTTTTCATGTTTTATTTTGGAAACATCTCAGCGTTGGTGCAATCTGGACTGAGCTGGGTGTTGCACGCAACCGATTTCTTTGGCATTAGTCTGCGTTTGATTGGCTGAAGGGTTTATGTCAACAGAAACATTTAAAACACCATTTTCAATCTGCGATGAGACCAAACTGCTCCAGGTAAAACCTGGGGGTCCAAAACTTTCCATCAACTGTGGCAGAAGAACTCCAGGCCTGTCACAGTAACAAACTATCCTGGATGATAAATTGTCCCAATAATTATTGTGATAAATGATGACATTGTTGAGACTATTTTCACATAATATTGCGATAGTCACACATTAATGCAACNGCATCCTCTGAAAGATCAATAAACTTTAATTTCTTTAGCTCTGGAAACAGAAAATAATTTAAATATCCAAAATAAATAAACAACAAATAAAATGGAGACTAGTTGATACCAAAGCACAAGACTTAAGTCTTTTGTCATCCAGTGTTTGGTTGAAATGGAGACTCAAGAAAGACAAACAGTCATGTAAATTGAAATTATTGAGCTTGTTTTAATGTATCATTAACTGGGAGAAATGTAGCTTTAACGTTATTCTGTGTGACTTTTTCAGGATTTTTCTAGTTCCTATGAACTCTTTGTTTGGTAGAAAAGTTGCTCTTGATATAGTTTTAGTGGTTTAGTTACCTCATTGTTATCCATTTTGTTTTAGACTGACAGGTTTTATTGATGTTAGTGACTTTCTGGGTTTTATTTCTTTGGTGTTTTTTTTGCTTCTATATGCCATTGTCTGCATTAGTGTATTTTCTCCTGTCTGTTGCATGGCTTGTTTCAGTTTCTTTATCCACTCCCTGCTTATAACTAATGCTAATTTGCTTCACATGTCACCTGCCGAGTGTCGGCCTGTATCATTATCACAGGAAGTGGGGGGCGCTGCCAAACAGCAGCCGGCTCCCCGCCCCTGTGACGGCTCAACGACACAAACAGGATCAGCGCCGCAGCTCTGCAAGCTGCCAAGTATCCTGCTTAAAATCTTCAGAGCCATTTTAATGTTGATTTATATATTTTTCTTCATCCAGCTGTTTGTAAGAAACATTTTTGCAAGATCATCATGTGTGCAGGTATACATATTGTTTCACAGGATTCATGTCAGGTTTAAGACAAACATCTTCAGTCAAATCTAGGCTTTCATTGACAGATATGGTTCATTTTTACTCCAAGTGAAAAGTTGATGACTGCCAGATTTAATCAAGGGGCTGTGATTAAAAGTGAATCTTTTTAGCGCAACTGCTGATCCTGTGGCTTTCTCAGTCTACATTTTGAATAGATTGTGAATTAAAACGGCGTGCTGGATTTCTCTCCTTGGATATTTGAAAACTTGTCTCAAAGGTCGTCATGATGCTGTTTAACGTGCATCATAGAAGGCATTGATGTGTCGAGGAATTATACCCTATATCTAATTAAAATGGCACAAAGGCAATATATTAAGTGTTGAAGCGCACAGCGACCTCCACAGTTAGCGGCACCCCAGTAAAGATGTGTAAAAGGTCTTAAAATAAATTTGTCTTTTTTTCCAGCGCCATAAGATCAGCCTATATTTTAAACACATTAATTCAGTGAGGAAAATATGCTACTGCACCTGTGAATTATTAAAACCCTTTTTTAAAAAGTGGGATTTTTTTTTATCACGTTAATCTCAATAAGGAATGCAAAAAAGGGTCTTATAGATTATGCCTGAGATTAGTTAAGATGGAGCCTGAGGTTATTAATCCAAAACTGTTTGTCTTCTATGTTTGATCCAGACTGCGAGCCAGAGGAAGTGTCTGACTGGTCCTTCGATGAAAACTGTCTCTTCTGCTGCTTAAGACGTGAGAAAAACAAGGTGGGTCCCATAATCAGTTGGTTTTTTTTGCAACGCTATGGGAGCTGTACAGACTTTGACTTTTACTATATAAAAAAAGGTGTGGATTTAGTTTAGAAATGAGGCAACAAAGATTTAGAAACAAGCGCAACTAAGAGTATTTTTATCAGCTGAGCAAATACCACATTTCCATAAATAGTGTGGAGCAAAAGCATCTAGCAGACTGTTTTCACATCCATTCCTCAGACATGAAAACACTGAAGTGTGAAAGTTTCCCTCTAAATTATAAAATAATTATTATACGTCAATTTATTTTTCTAAAATATAAACAAATGAAATTTTTTACAAAATAACCTCCACCATCACTTCGCTGCGTTACAGAAGGATTTTAAACTACACAAAGATTTTACTCAAGAAAGAGTAAAAAGGTATTTGGTAAATTTGCAGTGAATTAACATTGGTTAAACCCGGCAGGGAGGGCCTGTAGATTTATTTAATATGTAGCAGCCAGAAACCAGGCATTTGAAACACAAACTGAAAAACACATTTCACTCTTTTCTGAGGAACACACCCGACTTCTCGACTCTCTCAGGTTTATATAAACTCCTCAGCTGTTTATTGAAGCCGTTTAATTGAAGTTTAAAGTCAGACGTGTCTCTGTTGTGAAGAGAATCTAAAATGTAAAATCTACTGAAGATGTTTAGGGTTTTTCTGTGTGTTTGGAAAAATCCCAGCACATTTTAAAGGATGTCTCTGTTTTCTTAGTTATGCTGCACTTATATGACGGTTGTAAAACACCTTGAAACACAAAAAGAGCAAAATAGTAAATCCATTATCACATTTAATATGGAAATACTGTATGTGTTCAGTGTTAAAAAAAAAAAAAAGCTGTATGCATGTGTGCCTGATTATGTTTTAAAATGGGAGTGAGCATTTGGTAAAATATGGATTACTAAACCACCCCCAGTCACACACTGTTCGCCCCAACCAGCATAAAAAATCAAATCAAAGGGAATACAATCCTCTGCTGGTGTATGGGTGGACCACATCTATAAACCTATAGAGCTGCAGTCATGAACCGTTTTCAATGGTGCACTCAGTCCTGGTGACACACACAAAGCATGGATCAGTGAAATGGCACTTCTTTTGTGCCAGAGATCCCGAGTTCAACCACTCAGTGTTACTTTTGTTGGTTTTTCTTTACTTTCTGGGTGGGCGACATGTGGACAAAAGCTGCAGTATGCAAAAAAGATTTTTCTTATTTGGTAAGGCTGTCATTATGGCATTTGTTATGAAATAATCTGTCAAAAAATGAATCTGGTCCCTGAGCCACTTTTGGCTTCTGAAGAAATGCACCGAAAACAACCAATCAGAGCCAGGAGGAGGGTCTTAGCGCTGTCAATCAACCTCATGTATTAGCTCCTAAATGTCATAATGGCAGAGAAATAACTTAATTACAGCAAAACTGTTTATGCTAACTAGCCTAGCATTCATGACAGGCTCTGCTGGCTGCAGCGAAGTAGAGAGCAACTGAGGTATGAGCAGCACTAAACAGAGTGTGACTGACAGCGCTTAGACCCGCCTCCTGGCTCTGATTGGTTGTTTCTGGTTAGCACTGGAAGAACTGGGAGAAGCCAGAGGTGCCAATTTTTTCACAGATTATCTGTCTCATACTACACTGTCACCACGTAGCGTCTACAAATATATTAAAACATATTTTTATGAAAGTTACAAACTTCAGCTTTAATAAATAATTTACTGCTGGAATTAGATCATATACAGACCCTGGTGTTTCTATGAGTGGAGAGCTGTGAAAAGATTTCTCCTGTATTTGGTCAGATCTGTGGTAAATTAGAGAGATGCAGCTTTTTCATGCCACTTAGAAAAGCTAATTAAGATTTGGTTCATAAAATCCAGCTCTGCGTTTCTCTTTTTGTTCCACAAAATAAGTTGCTGTGTGTGAATGTGTGTGTATTCAGGAGCACATCGTGGAAAACGGTGGAGGCGGCCACGTGCTGTCGGAGTGTGAGGACTTCAAACAGGGGCAGTCTCGGATCAGCCGGCTGGAGAGACAGGCCCGAGACTTCCTCAATGCTGTGTTCCACAGAAAAGGTGAGGCACGTTCATGGAACATGGTAAACGCCTCAATGCGTCTAAAACTACAGCTGTAATTTCCAAATACGTAAATATTAAAGAGTTAGACGAGGCTGAATTAGGACTGGACAATAAAAGAATAACAATATCAAAATAGACACGTGATCAATAGATAGTATATCTGATAAAATATTCAATGTGTAGAGTATTCCAAATAAAAAACGGAGTGGAGTGAAAACTGTGGATTAAAGAGGAAAGGTCACACCACCAGACTGGCAGTATTTAAAACTAAAAACTAATCAATAATTAGCAATATCGACAACTCTTTATCAACTAATAAATGCTTAAATTGTGATAAGTTTATTCTCCCGTCCTAGGCTGAATCCAGAACGCCAAAACGAGTCTGAACTATAATAAAAACTTGAGCCAAGATCTGAAAAAGCCGTCCAGATGAAATGCATAATTAATTTTTCTTAGCTTTTTGATGTCAAATCCTAAAAATCTTTACCCGCAGAAGGAACTGTTGATGTTAATTTAAAATGTCTTTATTTCTTGTTGGATTCCAAACTAGTTGCACTATTTTTAGTTTTTTAATTGTTTTAATGCTTATGCTAAATGGTTGAATTCATGCAAAATTACACAAGTGAGTTTTTATGTGTTAACTTTAATGAGAACTAAAATAATATTGTCATCCAGCAAAAGCCAATATAGTCTTCCAAAAGATGTTTTTAATTTCAATGGGATTTTCCTTGTGAAATAAAGGTTAATAATCATAACAATAATAATAAAATCCTAGTCAGTACATCTGAAAGGGAGACAAGTAAAATATTTTAATATGTTGATGTCCATTGTATTTTAAAAAATATTTCAGTTTTTAGTTTTATTGCTTTGTCATAGTTGTGTGCATTTATTTTTTATTTACTATTCCTGTGTTGGACTGGATACTGTAACTGGTTTCTATGGAACTGATCAACACTGTTGGTATCATCAAAGAATTATTCATATTTGAATCAGAAAAATATTCTAATCCATCTCAAAACATGTTCATCAGTGACAAAAAGAATAAGAAAATGAATCAGTTATGAAAAGAGCAGGTAAAATGGGACTTGATGAATGCATTCACTGAAAACACATCAACTCAATTAAAAAATAATCTGCAGCTAATGACTTTTTTGTTTTGATTTGACATGTGTGATGGCTTAATTTGACTCTTATTTTCACGATGTTAACATAAAAACAAACATTAATTCCTCCAGCAGAAAAAAGAAACCAAGCCGCAGTAAGAGCTTACCCCAAGCAGAGCTGATGTGCCTGACCTCCTGCTAACTGCTGCCACTGTCTTTGCATGCATGTGATGTTTCTGTCTAAATTTAGCGACTCCACAGGTAGTTCTGCCTGCGTGGGCAAAGCCAGGCTGATTAGGACTTCAGGTGGACCGATATCTGTTTCCGCTCTGCACCTTTGCCTCAGGCCAGGACTTATTCTGATGGTTAGAAAGGGATTTAAATTGGTTTGATGATTTTAATAAGAAGTTGCAATGTTGGTGTTAACAGTTTATTGCTGCAGGGCTCATACTGTCAGACTAAATTAAAGTGACCCAGCTTAATCTGTGGATTTCTTTTCATTTCCAGTTTTAACATGGAAACCTCCACTTACTGTCTCCTAGTTAAGCCTGTAGCTTTCTCCTTTTCTAGGAACCACAGACTCTGATTGGGCCGAGCTTTTGTTTCAGCTCAGCAGGACGGCAGTCAGCTCCTCGTTTCAATCATAATTACTGAAAGAAAGCAAAAAACACAGATTGATATTTATCTCGTTTTTTGCCCGTGACAGTTTTGCTCCCATTGCAGCTTCTCCCTGTTTTTATAGAAAGACTTTCATTACTTAAGAAATTAAGTGAGAGATAATCCCAGAGATAATCTGGATCCATGCAGTCAGAGGTCTTACACTGAGTTTGAGACCTATTGTGATTTAAGGACTTCGTACTGATAAAAAGGAACAAAGTTTTTCCAAGTAAATTTTTATAAACATAAAGTTGTGCAAATGGAAACTATTGAGTTTGTTTTAGTTTATTATGTGACTGATTGATTTATTGTTTATTGTGACAGCCCTACGTGGATCACAACAGTTAGTCGGATCCTTCCTGCAGCTTGAGGCTCTCTAGAAATGCTAGGGACGACACAACTGAACGTTTTCTGCTTTAATTTTCAAAGACCTGGAGTAAAAATCAGCTGACACTTTAAGCTACCCATAAATTAGATTTTCTTTCTTTTTCTTTTAGGTTTTATTGGCTCTAGTGACATTTATTTGATAGTGAATTGACAGGAAATAGGTTAATATTAGAAGGGGAAGACATGCAGTGAAGACGGTGTCACTACATTAAATGAGTTTTGCACAAAATGAGTGCTAGTTGCATTGGCAGATTATTTCACTTATGACATGGGGGAAAGTGTCTTATGAGTGAATTAATTTGTAGTATCAATATTAAGGAATTATTTACTTAAGATACTTATACATTTTATTTTATTTCAAGTGAACTAAGATATTTACACTTGAAACGAGAGTAAAATACTTGGTAAGGTTTAGTGTTTTTGCAGGGCATAATTTGGAGCGCCACACGGTGAATTAAATCCCAGAATATCTGGTTGATACAGCGCACGCGTTTTTCCGTCGTAGCAACAGGAGGATTTCTGTGGCAGTGATTACCCAGTGTGATGTGTTCAGGAAGCACAGGAGTCAGAGAACAGAGGATTAGCGAGTCTGTCACAGCAACGTACGGCTGCAACACCTGCTGACATGTCTGGGGCACATATCCCCGCTTCCTAACAAACCCGCTGCTGCATGATGGCCTAAAGAAATATAATTGCCAAAGCTCAGCTGAGGTGAGGAGGATATACTTCAGCTGGTAAACGCTGTGCTACTTACCACATTTCTATGAATTTCATGATGTCCAGATTAATTTTATCTATTCAAGAGGTGCATTTTATTGTATCTGCAAGCCCTTGAGCAAACATAATTATCTAGATAATTCAGCGCTAAATATTAGATCGAGGACAGTAGTCTGAACACTGATACATTTTTTTATCATGACTGACAATTTTTCAAAACACCGCCTCAACAAAAGACGAGAGGAAAACTAAAGGAGCAAAGTGGAAATGAAAGAACAAAGTCATTTCCTTCTCCTGCACTTGTTCTTGTGGGTTTAGTCGAAACGTCCAGGGAGATGGAAATGCTTTGTGGGAGCGAAATCAAAAACATTTTGAAAAAAAAATAATAATTTGAGAAACGGAGGAAGAATTTGATGTAACTGGAGGAAGGAAGCATAAAGACGGGGGCAGGCAGGGGGCTGCCAAAAAAGCAGCTTTTCTCTGCTGTATGTTCCTGATTGGTCTAAATAAGCCTTTCTCAAACTGAGGTCCCCGGACCACCGCTGGCCTGTGGGCGCCCCCTTGCGGTCCGCAAGGTACTGCATGTAAACAACCGTTATTAGCTGCGACGTGAGCTCAAGGTGCGACGCTACAGTTAACTTACCAAAGGGATGTGTTTAAGAATATGAACGGATAAGTGGCTCAAAATCAGGTCACTAAAAAGAAGAACTGAAGTTACTGGTGGAAAGTTTAGTTTTTGAGCATTATGACGATGCATAGCATTCTGCAGATTTAAGTCTGCGACTGCTCTGAATACGAAATGACAGTAATGAAGCGGTGAGAGGCGCTGTGCACCACGCTGACTAACTGCATCTTAACTATTGACTGGCTGAAAGAAAGAAAATGTTTATTTTTGCCAAAGGGGTTGAGATGTTTTGTTATTCAAATAAAATCAAATTTTATTTGTATAGCACATTTCAGCAGCAAGGCATTTGAAAGTGCTTTACATCATTAAACACAAAAACACAGAGTCATGCAACGTTGAATAAACAATCAAAAACATTAATTTTCCTGCCGAGTCAAAGTTATTGTTATTGTGGGGGCAATTTCTAGTTTTGTGGTCTGTGAGTGTTTAAGTTTGAGAAAAACTGGTCTAGATAACGAGCTTTACACAAACTGTACAGCAAACAACATCTGAGTTTTGGATTATATCTGCACATCTTCATCATTACTGTTTTGGGGTAACGATACATTTAACAGATTTTGATCTTGACCCACTTAGTATCCAAACATCGTACTCTAGTAAGAGTAGTGATACTTCAACATACCGTGTTTTCCGCACTATAAGGATCTAAAGCCACTTTGTTGACATGAGGAATGTCAACAAAACAGTCCGACTGCGGTCGGTGAGGAGAGCCTTCTGCGACTGGGCCGGGGCGTGGCCGGACGATGGTCACCCTTCTCAGTTCGCGCACAGCATGTTGGTGGAGAACGTGGTGCTAAATGACCTGCAGACGACCTGATTCTAGACGGTAGGTAGGTAGATAGGTCAGTCAAACTTTATTAATAGATTACAAACCAGCGTTCTGACAACTATCCCAGCATGCACCGCGCGCTTCTTCTTGTACGGGCGAAAATGAAGTCGGCGGCTGCTTACTGTAGTTACTAGACCTGTTGTGGCTCAATATTGGTCCATATATAAGGCGCACCGGATTATAAGGTGCAATGTCGGCTTTGGAGGAAATTGAAGGTGTTTAGGTTGCGCCTTATAGTACGGAAAATACGATAAGTGAAAGAAAAAGTAACCATCCAAGAAATTACTCAAATAAGAATAAAAAAATTATTTAGTAAAGATTTACTCAAGTACTGAGTAACTTTTTTACATCTAATTATGCATAGATTACATAATCAGATTTTTTCTTTTAAATGTAAAGTTAAGTGGAAATTTTGGTATTTTAAGACCAAAATGACAGTAATTCATATAAGTGCCAAAAAATAACAAAATCATTCAAAAAAAAAAAAAAATCCAAATCATTACATTACTTTTCCAAAATTACTTTCAATGTAAAACTTATGAAACTTTAACAGAAACTGCAGGTGTGTGTCTGTTTATGGTGAATTTTTGTTTAAAACATGTTTTTTATTCAGTGGGTA